TTGGGTTCTCAGTAGACTCTGGCTGGGAGCAGAAAGGAAGCCCTACCCTTTCCCCTCTGCATGGGACTTACTTCCTAAGCCAGCAGTCCTAGAGGAATGAGAGACCCCCAAAATATGAGACACAGGAGGCATATTGGGAAGAGCACCCTAAACGTAGAGACATGCAGACACAAAAGGGATGCAGAGATACCAATAGAGAGGTCCTTAATGATATCCTAACCTCAAGGAACAGCATGGCACATGAAAAGTGGCTGAGAGATATTCCAACAAAATGGTGGGCTAGAGACCCAAATCATTCAGCTCTGCTCTGGGGACCCAGGAGACTTAGGACTGGTGAGGAGGCCTGACTCAAATCTCTGGTGTGTTTGTGAGTAGGAGTGGGGAGGGGAGTGGAGACACAGCAAAGTGAAGAGATTGTTATTAGGAAAAGGCCCCAAAAATATAACACCTGAAGTCACTGAAGACAATGGGTGCACAAGCAAGTGTGGTGAAGAAAGCTGACGGTGCTCAGCTACCAAAAGATATAGCACCTGAAGCCTTAAAGACCTGAAGATAAACAAGCACCTTTTAGCTGAGAGACACATGGAAGAAGCACACCAGCCTACCCCTACTAGATCGCTGAGGACAAAGGGGGTGCATTAGCAAAAGTGGTGAAGAAAGCAGATGGTGCCCCCGGCTATCAAATGTTACAGCATCTAGGGTCTTACAGGTTTGAAGACAAACAGACGGCCATCTAGCTAAGAAACAATAAAACCCACAAGGAAGAAGCACACCAGCCTACCCGACAGGAATGCTGAAGACAAAACGGGTACATAAGCAAATGCGGTGAAGGAAAAGGCACTGAGAAGAATTAGCATATTCCTACCAAGGTATCAACTAGTAAAGGGACTTGAGATCCAAAAGGCAAGGGTCAGCTAGTCCAGGCCCCAAAGTGGTAGGGCTTCCTGGGGGACCTGATGGTCTACCCTTTCCCTTCCTCAGTATCATGCAGGTGTCTGCTCCCTAGTCACCTCCTTCCTCTCTGACCACCATTGGCCTGGAGAGGTCAGAACGGTTGTTGGAGATCACATCTTATTCTTATACTGGAGACTGTGTGTGTGTGTGTGTAAGAATGGACGATTATTGAGAACTCTGGTGGGAACCACCTCTTTCCCTAGGATTGATCCTGTAACTGGATCTGTAGACTCTTGGTGGGGGGTGGAGGTGGTAGGGAGCACCCCACCACTTTCAAGAGGCTTGGAGAAAGGAGGGTTGTATGGGGTGGAGATTGTGGAAAGATCTGTTGTTCAGACCAGCACTTTCACAGTTAATTCCCCCACTTCCCCCCCACACACACACACACTTCAACTGTCACTGTGTACACTGCCATTTCTTCCAGAACCAGAGACAGAAGACGGATGACAGGGAGGTGGGGGTGCAACAGAAAGGGGGCAGTGGAAGCTCTTCCATAGACACATGCCTAACACACCTCTACTGACAAAATCAGGCCTCTACACATACCTGATACAATCCTACTGACACAATTACTGACCTCCAAGTGTGATCTACACCCATCAATCTCTGTCACACACGCCACCTGTATGTGTATAACTGTGGATAACAGCTTGCAATAAGAAGGGTAAGCACCGATTTACATGTGCTTACTTACTAATCTGCAGTAAATAATTTTGCTTTTGTTGTTGCTGTTGTTTACCACATCAAGGATTCTGTCTCTAGGCATGGCTGGCACCCATCTCTACCCCAACTCAAGGCTCCTTCCTATAGAAACAAAGCCTCCTTTCAAATATACAGTCCCTGACAGAGATAGGAATACCCAGTAAACAAGGTAGCCAAGCGGTTATTTGTGTTTCTTTACTAATTTGCTACAGATTAGCAAGTAAACACAAGTAAACCCGGGTTTATTTTATTTAGCTGGTAATCCGCGGTGGGTGCGAAGGTCACGCACAGTGGCTCCGAGGTCAGACCAAATGACGTGCCTACACACTTTAGCATCGCTTCAGACTTTACATCACCTAAGCCAAACAGCTCCGCTTAGGTCCCCGACCTCACTTCCCCAATTCCACACCCGGGGACCAGGTCCAATAGCTGGGAGGAGCGGGATCTGAGACCTGACGCCCCGGGCTATAGGAAGATTGTGCAGCAAGGACAGTGGGCCTGGAAGCCGCTCCTGCCGCGGCCCCTCGGCAGGCACGTCTACAAGCAACCAGCGCTGCCAGCCGGCCCGCCGCCCGTCAGGAGGGTAATGAATGCGCGTTCCAGGCCCCTGGCCCCCCTGGACTCGTTCATCACTGCCAGCTCCGACCACCTTTTGGCCCGCCCGCCGGGAAGGCTAAGCGGCCCGGGTGCCAAGAGCCGCTCTCCCCCTACTTCGAACACTAATTGTCAGATTGAGATGTTGATTTGTCAGCTGAGAGCTAGAGCCGCCAAAAGATCCGCAGCAAATCCGGGCCCCCTAGCATTTCCTCTGGACTCCCCTCGGGCTCTTCGGGCCCCGGAGCCGGCCGGGGTGTTCTGCAGGTCTGGGGAGCAAGAAGGACCATGCGCTTCTACTCAGATAGGAGGCACACCCGGCTACAGACCCCCCAGTTTCCCGACGGTGGCGCATTTCCACTTCTACGGACCCCAAGCCCTTTGGGCCCAGTCCCCTAAACTCCCAGGAGGATGCGCCCTGGCTCCTGCCTCCAGCCTCGGGGTCCAGGTTTCACCCCAGGGCGCCCCTAGCCCCGGGGCCCCCTGTCTGCCTTCAGGGAACGCCCAGCGACCGAAACTCTCCAGGCGCCTCGGGTGGCAACCTGGCTCTCCCGGAGGCGGCCCTGCCGCAGCCCACCCCGGCCCGGCCCGGCCCCAGGCGCTGCTGCTGAGTCGCACCCCGCCCGCTCCCCGGCCCGAGCCGCGAGCTCCCCCGGCGGCCCGCTGAGTGACGGGCGGCCGGTGATTATGCGAAGGGGGGAGCGGGGTGCGCCGCGGGCGGCAGCGCTGACCCTTCACATTTCCGATCCGCCGGGACCCTCATCCATCCGAAGCTGCTCTTTGTCTGGCCGCCTAATTGCCGGCGGACAGGATGGATGGCGGGACCGACAGCCGCGGAATCCCTAATAAAGGCCGCGGCCGCCGGGGAGGGAGAGACGGAGGAAAGAAGGGGGAGCAGGAGGGGGAAGAACGGAGGGAGGTGGGAGGATGCACCGGGCCGAGTCTCCCCGCGTGGTGCTCCTGGAGCTGGGCCGCGCGCGGTGTGCCCCCTTCCCCCCGAGGCCTGGTGGTCGGGGTTCGGGGGCGGTGATAGTGCGGCTCGAAGAGGGTAGGGCCCGGGGCAAAAGGGGTAAGAGCCAGGAGCTCAGGGCAGAGAGTAGTCTAGAGCCGATCCAGGGTCCGGGCCACCTTGCTGAGCCGAGCGCTGGTGGCCTCGAGCGTGGCGCTGTCGCCTGGCTCCCGGCTTTCCTTCACGGGTCCCCCTCCCTCGGCTCCCCGCGCGCGCGCCCCCCTCCGCTCACCTGTCGGTCTCCCAGCACGGGATCCAATATCCCGGCGGAGAAATGAGGGGTCTGACAGCTGTCTGTGGGGCCGCTCGCCACTTTTCATTAACTGGAGGCTGGAGCGGACAGGCGAGGGGCGCGCGAAGGAGGTGGAGAGTGAGACGAGGGCCAGGAGCCGCACCTGGCCAGGGTGGAGGGCTAGAAAACCCAGAGGGCTGCACACTCTGGCCCGGTAGATGCCCTCCCCCCTCCCCAAGCCATCTCTACCTGGCCGGGGAGTAGGAGTCCCGGGTCCCGCTGACACTAGCCTTCCCGCCCTACCGCGGAGGTTGGTGGGCCCTTTCCTCCCGGAGGCCAATTGTGATGATCCCGCCCCTGGTCAAGTCCAAGAGCGATTCCTCAACCTTTCAGCTTCAACCCTCCTTTCTTTCAACGCCGGAGCAAACATTCCCTATGGATCGCCCTTTCTCTGCTCCCTTCTCGCTTTCTGCACGCCCCTACGCCTTCAGCAGGGCTCTTGGACACCGCTAACTTTGACCACCAGTTGAACTTTTGTTGGGCATTAGGTTCCCAGGCGCCGGGTGGCGGTAGCAGAGGCAGACAGAGCCAAGGCCCTGCCCCTGGTGGGCTTCCCACACTTAGGTCTCTGCTAAGAGGCCTTCAAATCACTCTGCTCAGTCCGGTCCTGCTGGTTATCCTCCCACAGCAGTTGTCTGATACCATTTGGTTCTTCTCCGAGGCTCTAAGATCAGTACTACCCCTTTGTGGATCCTCAACTATAAAAGAGGTGACAGCAACACACCTACCCCCTTAGGGTGCCTGTGAGGATGCAATGAGGGTTTGTGTGTGAAAGTTCTAAAATACAGCAAGCCCCCCCAAAATGTTCTTTCCCTTCGCATGTTATCCCTTGTCCTCTGGATAAGCAAAGTTCCCTTCCCTTCACCCAGGGGGCTGGTACCTGGTAGCAACCCAGGCTGCTTCCCAATCTGTGTGATCTTCACAGAGGTAGCAAGCAGCCTTAAGCCTCTGTGTGTGTGGTGGTGTTGCTGTTGGGACTACACATCACACCATGGGGATCCTTCAGAGGAGGCAGGACAGGGTGCAAAGGTGTTTTCTTAGATTGAATGGAACATCAGCCGACTCCTTCCTCTCCTCTTGGAGATGAGGAAACCCAGGCTTCTGGGGTGACACTACAAGTGACACAGCTGAAGACGGATCAAACTGCCAGGGTCTTCCCTCCAAGGTCCATCTAGGGCTCCCCTCCTTTCCCCTTGCTTCCCATGGGTGGGGGGTGTCTAGGTCGGAGTGTGGGAGAAGGAACAAAAAAGAGAGAACCTTCAAGGAGCGGGGACCTTTCCTCCAGACTTCATAAAATTTTAACATGAAAACTTCTGCAGAAGAGAAGGCACAGAGCAAATGCAAATCATATGCTAATCACATGCTAATCTAAAGTCTGATCTTCAGAACTTTGACACAACCTGGCTGTAGCCTTGGGGAAAATTCTGGGGAGACCCCTGATTTCCAGGGCAGGTGAAGAGGAGCTGTTTAGGGTCAGGTGATGCAGCTCAGCTTCCCTTCAGAATTGGAGAGGAGTCAAGTGTTTGATTTGGAATCAGCTTCAGGGTTAGTGGAAAGTCATAGGTGAAGATTAAGGTAAAAGTCAGACTAGGCTCTTAAATAGGGGTTCAGGGACCTCATTAAGGCTTCCTCTCCTCTGCCCTCCAGCCCCAAGCTCAGTCCTCACCCCCTCTTCTCCTGTGCATGGTGGTACACCCCTTCTTGGTACACCCCAATTCCCAAGGGCACCTCCATGGGGTCTTGGTTTTGGAGAAGCCCTAGGTAAATCAACTCAGGCCTCCCTTCTCCAGTCCAAACACTTGGCTTCTGGCCCCAGCAGCACAGGCAGGCCTCCACCCTACCCAGGTCCCTCCCTGGCTGAATGTGACAGCTGCAGAGGAAGCAATAAGGACCTGGTGAGCTGGCAGCTTCATTCCAGAGTGTGGAGAAAGAGCAACAGAACATGAATAAATTCATGGAGCTGGCCCCCTAGGCTCCCTGTGAGCCAAGCCTGCTCCCCCCACCCCACCCCGCCATCCCCCCACCACACACACTTGCTACTGCGGGCAGCCTGCTGGTCACCCTGCTCACAGCCTGGGCTGGGGACAGGAGTGAGGAAGCCCCAGGGAGAAGATGGCTGGGTTCTGTGAAAGGGTCTGGAGATGAGGGCGATCCTGTGCTGAGTGGGGAGCCAGACCTGGCAGAAGGGGGCTTTGGTGTGAGGAAGGAGAGAAGGCAGGGGAAAGAGAGGGAGGCATACACAGGTCCGTGGGTCAGTGGGGCCTGAGGCGCGGGCAGAGGAGACTGGTGTGAGCCTGGGCCTGCTCCCTCCTGCTCTCGGATCCATCCATCATCCACCCTGGGGGAGCAGATCTGGAATTAGACATGCACTAGGCTGGGCGACATGGCCCTCAGCCCCCCACCCTCCACCCCAAGGAAGACAAATGGGGACAAAGACCTTGAATAAAATTTGTATTTATGGCTGGAGGAGGAGGCCCCTCCCCCACTTGCTGCCAATCCTATCTCTGGAATATTGCCAGGTTTGTAGGGGGCTTCCCCAACCCAGGTCCATCCTCAGGAGGCCACAGCAGGGTGATTCAGGGATGGGGTGGGGTGGGCTGGGGCAGGGGGTAGAGGGGGAGAGGAAACTACCTCTTACCCAGTCAGAATGCCCTGCTGTGCTCTGTGCCTCCCTGCTCACTTGACATACCCTCTTCTCCCCTCCCAGGGTCTCCAAACCTCCTGTTTGGAGACCAAATTTCTCCTGTTCTGAAGCCCCTTCTCCATTGCTATGCCCCAGGGATAGAGCAGAAATTTCTCCCAGAGAAGGAAGGCTGCAGTCAATAGCTTTTCCCTTGCACCTGGACCCCTTACAGAAGGAAGGCAGTAACAAGGCCTCTGTTTCCTCTTGCTCACCCTGAAAGGAGACCCACACCTTCCTCTCCCACAGGAGGTTCCTAGCACTTCATCTGCATGTTAGCTACATTATTTTGCATAGCAAATTTCAAACATTCACCCTCCAACACCCAATTTCTCTGGGCTGGACACGGACTGGGGCTCAGGCAGGGGTGCAGCTGGCCAGGGCTGGCCAAAGGGGACCCATCCTGAGGAGGCATCCCTGGGGCCCTATCTTTAGGGTCAAGGAGGAAGACAAATTATCAACACTCGCCCTCCAAAGAGTCCCAAACACACACACACACACACACACACACACACACACACACACACACACGACACACACTCCCACTCACCCAGGGACACCCAAGGCCAGGGTCTCATGACCACGTCCACCATCCACACTTGTCAGTGCACTGCCACAATGCACAGACCCAGCCTACCACCCCGGCTCGCAGAGCCGCCCCGCCCCCGCGCCTTCCCCACAGTTGATATGTCACATCGGAGTCCGAACACGGACCTGGGTGTCTCTCTGCCGCGCGCCATTTACATTTCCCTCTCGATCTGTCAACCTGTCTGGGCTCGCGTCTCTCTCTCTCCGTCTCTGTCTCTCCCTCTCCCTTTCCCTCTCCCTCAGTGGGGCTGTCAGTTAGTCTCTTTGCCAAGCTTTGTCTCTGTCTATGCGTCTCTCCCAGGCTCTCTGTCTCTCTGATTTCTCCGCGGCTTCTCCCCAGCTTTCCCATCGGCTTCCTGCTGCCTCTTCAGGCTGGTCGCCTTCTGTACTCCCTCTCACTCTCTGGTCGCCTCACAGCGCTAGGGACCCGGGGCTCTCCGGCTCGGGACAACAGAATGCCCCTTGAGCCCTTTATCATGTTAATGAGCCCTTCTTAGGCTAAATCTCGCCCTTCTTGGGTCTTCTTTGGGGGGACTCTTTTTAGGCCTGGAATTCACTCTGCCGTGTGTGTGTGTGTGTGTGTGTGTGTGTGTGTGTGTGTGTGTACCCACTATCTTCCACCGGGATCAGGAATTCCAAATCCCGAGGACGGTGGTGGTGGTGGAGGAGGGAAGCAAGGGGTGAGAGCTGACACCCTGCAGTATTGGCTCTGGGCGAGAAAAGGACCTAGAAGCCGGAGTGGAAGGGGGAGGGGACGCTGG